CCGAGATACGTGTTTTTAGGAGTTTCACCATCGCTGCATCTGATCTGTTCAAGGGTAGCTACATGAATTCCTTAAATGAGTTGCTGTAAAACTTTCATCGTGTCCATTACTTCTGCTTTGGTTGCAGTATTCTTGATGATTGCAGGAGAATCCGGAAATGGCTTCTTAGCTCTGCCCGGAGCCTAACTACACTTTTACACCACATGATATTCTAAGTGCATCAAAACAACGCAGGAAATAAAGAGCGAAAGAGGAAAACAAAGAATGAAAAAACAACTGCTGATTGGTTCAATGGGATGGATTCAGCCAAAATTTCTCGTGGTATAATCAAAACAACATAAACATTTGCAAAAATAATTTTATATTGTTTATAAAGAACATATACCTATTCATAAAATTTCAATTGAAGATTTTCCTTGTTTTCCTTGAGAACTGAATAAAGTAGGTACGAGAGAAAATTAGCCGCCAGTTGATGTAGATACAGGCTAATTTTGGCAATGCCACATGGCTATTCTACTTATGTTATAGTCCATGCAGAGGTCCAGGACTCAAGAATTTTATTGTATTTAATTGGTTTTAAAATTGAAGGCTTATTATGTTGACATCCGCCGTCTCCGAGGACCGAACGGTCCAAGTGGGGCGGGATTTGATAAGGCTAATTGAATGGCTGTATAGATACAAAGCATCATGGGAGTAAAGTCCTTGAAGAATCCGTTCATAAATTAGTACTCAAAGCGGGGAAGGAAGGCAGGGCAGGGGGCAGGAGCAGGGTGGGGGGAGGGGCTACTTGATGTTACAAAAAAATTCGTTGTGAGACGTTATGGTTTTGGGGAAACTTTCTTGATACTTTAGGTGAAGATATTTTTGACCATGTTAAACATTTTCCAGCTAAAAATCAACGCAAAATCAGAAAATTAAGGAGAATTCGAATATTTCTGACTGAGCGAAAAAGCCTAAATGTAATTTAGGTTTCTTAATCCTTTCCCCAAACTCGTTCCTTTAAAATACCTGAGAATCGATTAAGTGTTACCTATCAGAATTTTTTGTGAATATTTTGATTATATAATAAAAATTCAAAAAAAATTTCAAAAAAATTGGTTTTTAATTTTTTTTAAAAAAAGAAAAATAAATGTAAATAAAATACGATTGGAAGTAACACCGCAATGGAAGTTGCGTATTTATAGACTGCGGTGTCTAAGAGGGCGAAATTTCGGTATCCGACTCCACCCCCAACTCGAGGTTCAAGTGAATTCTTCTTGCAGTTTAATGAGAGAGCTCACGCGATTAGTTTTTCCCGATACCACCAGAGAACGCTCGACTCGACGTACGAGCGTAGGAAATACTAGAGTGCGAGAAATAATTGCTATTTTCTCATAACACCCCGTCCCCATCCCCCATGTTTAATTACGGCGACCCTCACGACGACGTCTCTCGCGCGAGTGACTGCAAGGTCACCTGTCTGGGTCAACGACCCCCGCAGTCACTCACCCCTTCAGCCGAGAGACCCCTTCGGTGCTGGCCGCTAAAGTAAACTTTGTCCACTACCCTGCGGAGGGCCATGCGAGCAAACCGGCCGGTTAACGTAGAATTCCTATTGTATGGATACAATTTGTAAAATGTGATAGCGGTAATTGGATTACTATCTATATTTGGCACTGATAAGCGTGCGTCTGATAGACTTGACGTGAATCCATGGTAAAAGTTCCGTGCGCCGCGCCGATACGATCTCGTTAATTAACTTCAATTCACTTGGGTTATTAAAAAGAAAAAAAGTTGATCGAAAACTTCTCTTAACAGGTTGTAGTGGTACTTCAGCCAGAACAGCCCAACTACATCAGACATTGTCTAATATTCACTCATGTTTCATTTTTTCAACAAGAAAACTAAACAGCATTTTGACTTAAAATTGTGTAAGTTTATTCATTCTGTGTTAGGAATTGAAAAAAGGCAAAAAGTTTCAAAACTACAATGAAATACAATGACAAGAAACCAGGCATAGCATTAAAGGAGGTCGGGCTGAGACGCAAGTTGGTATCACTATTTTTCCTCCATTTAAATTCATCATTAATAATAATCGACAGTGGGTGTCTGTCCGATTGGATACATCGATGGCTAAAGTGCTAAACCACGTGTCCCTATTGAAGTGTTTCAAAATCTCAGCTCACTTTTTCGAAGAGAAACAAGTCAACTATGTATAGTTTGAAATTTCTACGGAATATTCTGCTTGTAGGTGAGAAGAAAAGTCGAGGGAGTTTTCAAGAAATTAAGTTGACAAGTTTTCCAAGGAAAAAACAAAGTGCAATCGGGAGTTTGCAACGTAGTAAACGGAGATATTTGGTTTCGCACTTAAGCCATCGACCTATCGAATGTTTCACATCCATTTATACTGACAAAATCTCAAGCTGTAAACCCGCGGGAATATCCACCACTGTGTGGAATCGTTTCATCGAATGGTCAGACTCGACGACGCGACGTCAGTCCCCAGGCCAATCACACAGCGGACGGACGGCCGCGGTCGGTCGTAACAAGGTATCGCGACGTGCAGTGCACGCAAATGGGGGGTTTCTCACTGTTTACGCCGGGGAACCAACGGGGAACGGTAGTTGGGCCGAATTGTCGTGAGCTGCAGTTAACAGTATCACCAGTTGGTCACTAGCGTGATCGTGATTGACTTCCTCGTCCTCATCCGCACCCTCACCTCACCCTTGCCCCCTCCCCAACCCTCCCCTTTCACGTGAGCTAATAAAAGCTTACGTACCTCCACTTCCTTCCGCGCTTGTGTCTAGCCTGCCCTCACGCTTGCCATGTTTAAGCGTGGTTCTTGCTTGATCGTCGAAGGAAAGCAGAAAAGACAACAGTGGACAGTGGAATTGTGTGAAAAAATAATTTTCCTAAAGCAACCTGGGAAAATTTTGGAGTGACATGCGGACAACATCCTCATACTCTATGCTCAGGCCGGGTCAAATTGACCCGAGGCTTGCTAAAAACACGTGTCCCGCAGGTTGGACGGGGCCGCACCGTGGGTCGAGTTGATGGGAGAGGCTGGACAAAATTTGGAAACTTTGAAAGCTCATAACTCCGTTCATACAAAACTTTGAGGTTTTAAAAATGGTTTAATTGGTTTCCTCGTGAACTTTTCTTCTAGATGCAGCCCTCTTAATATTTGAAATGCGATGAAATTAACATTTAAATTTGCAGTTTTAGTCAGAAATTTCATGTCCGACCTCTCTAATTGACTCCATCCACTGTGGGCTGGTGCATACTAGCTCTCGATATCGGCCTACAAATCCATCTTCGAAAAAAAGTGAAGTTGATTTGACATTCTGGATGTAAACAAAAGTGGGCGAGAACTCACAAAATGCTGAAATACCCGCCACATCAGTTAGTTCTACATCTTGACATTGCTACAGTAACTGCTGTAGTGGTTATGTCAGCGGTTTGTGAGTTTTCGCGCACTTTTGTTTACATCCATAATGTAAAATCAACTTCACTTTTTTTCCGGTGATCCTGAAAAAAGAATCAGATGTCAAATTTAAAAAGAGAAGAAGAAAAATAGAAAATAATTGAGTGTAAATACAGCCGAAGAGAAGAGAGACGTAATCGGGCCCCGTTTCTTTAAATTTCTCCCAAATCTACAGGACACCTCATTGTCAGCGCAGAATGGAGCATTGCGTATTTATGCCTCGCGACATCGCGCCTTCAAGTTTGCAGACGCAACACGGGCATCCATCAAGCACGAATAGTTGTATCTCTGCGCCGTCATCAACGCGCATCCATTTCCTTGTTCTAATTCCATACTGTGCTTGTTTCCTTACGTCTTACTTGTGGTGGTATCTTAATGGCTACCTGAGAAACACAACCGAAGACATAAGAGACGTAATCGGGTCTCATTTTTAAACTTTTCTCGCGAATCTGAGCAATATACGTCATTGGCAGCTTAGAGCGGAGCATTGCAAGTTCACGTCTCGCGCTATCGCGCCTTCAATTTTGAAGATGCAACACGGATATCTATCAAGCACGAATAGTTGTATCTTTGCGCTGCCATGAAAGCGCGCTGAGGAGTCTCTTGCTTTTGAATTGAAAGAAAAGTTAAAGTTTAATTTGCTCAAAATATACTTTGATGTGTCAAAAACAATAATCATTTAAAAAAAGAAAAGTTCAGAGGTCTCGAAGCAAGGGTCCAAGAATTGGTATTTTAGCGAGAGTTGTGTTGTCAGGGAATTTATTTGACGACTACCCCCAGAAATCCCCGACATTACATTTCACCTATAAAACGGTGATAGTAGAGCTGCAACGTCACTAGGTAAAAATGACACGACAAAAAAAAACAACAAAAAAAAAAAACCAAAAAAATAAAATACCAAAATAACAAAAATAAAACGAAAAAAAACAAAACAAAAAACAAAAAAACCAAAAAAAAAACCCCCCTTAAAATGGTTACTCTGCGGGATAGTGGCCCAAGTAAAAGGTTTTCCACTCTCATAGTGGTGATACTCAGACGATTAAACTCCAAGTACATTTGATCACCCGACTACTAAGGATTGCGATTCACCCCGAGGTCCCTTTTCGATAATGCAGGAAACGTCACCGCCTCGCTTCCAGCAACAGGTTCAACGCACGACGACCCCGGCCCGGGGGCCGTTAGCCAAGGAGAAAAGGCCAACCTCGCCGGAAGGCGGAAGATCCCGATTGATTTTTCGCGCGAGGACCGCGCAAGGAAGCGCGGATTGACCTTGAAGGAGCTCCCAAGTGTGAAAAAGGGGGGGATGAAGGGGGACGAGGAGGGGCGGGGTCGTAATTACGGTAAAATTACAGATAACATCGAAGCACCGATGATTGATGGACAGGTTTTCGGCAACAAAGACGCCGCGTCGATGACGTCACGATGGCAACGGGAAAGGGTTGGTCGTCGATAGGGGGAAGGGGGAGGGCGGGGGGTTCGAACCCCCGGCGCTCGGTGTAAAGAGAGCAGTTACCCTCTATTGACGGGCCACCTCTTGTCTCGAGGGTTCCGTTCCGTGCGTGTCGACCGACTTGGCCGAGCCTACACGTGCCGGATGTGTTTGTTTTGATTTTTTTACGAGCTGGGAATCCGTGCGTTTTCGCGAGGTTCTAGTGGTTGAAAACATCGATTTTTGGAGCTGATAAGATCCTAACGCGATCGTTAAGTGCGTGATAAGGATCCACCATCGAATTTAGTGTTTTTTTTAACTCTTAAATTGTTGGTTTAGAGCGTCGTGTTCGGCGGCTGATGCTAACAAGCGTTGTAAGCTAGGTTTGCGCCTTTTCTTACTTTTGCACCAAAGTATTTGCATTTTCCGAAAACTCCTAACGAGAAGTGATCATTTTTACCAATTTTATACGTTAAGGAGCTATTCACACTATCGGCTTACCACATTTTGCGTGTTTGTATAACTAAAAAGAATCAGCGTTGGTGAGGGCATGGAATGAAACGCTCTCGTGCATGCAGCGGCGTTTTCTGCCTACATAATTTCCTGAAGAAATGAGAATACTTGAATAGAAAAAAGATCTAGCATCCAAATCTTGAAACTCGAGTTTGACATCATTTCTTTAAAGGCAAGATAATTACAGAAAACGCAAGACAATAATCCTGGCATCCATTCCTGCATGCGGGATGGTATCTTGCCTACCTGCAAAATCGAAGGCGAGATGGAAATGTGCATAATTTGCATATTTTTCGCTCTTCTAATTTGTTTTGGAAGTTTGTTTTTGGTCACCGGGTTGGCTCACGCGAAACTGATTACAGTTTTTTTGCAAGCCTGAAGTTTGAATTAGTTTATTTCAAAATTGTCCGTAAGACCAGTTTCTCACGAATAAAGTAACTTCGGACTTTTTGAATATGTTCTGCGTTAGGTTTTGCGGAAGTTATTGAGACCTAGAGGGTGCTTTGCAAGATGCTTTGAGAAAGGTTTTGAGAGAGGAATCTTCTCCAAAAATATGCCGCTAATTCCATTTTCCCCTTCAATGCTATTATAGGGTCATAATCTTTTTCATATCTATTAGCTGACCTAGAGTTAGTTACGATGACCAAATAAAATTTTATTACAGCTTAAAAAAGAGATATGCCGTTGGAAAGAACCGTGCCTTAAAAAAAATTGAACACTGGAATCCTGAAATGTAGAACCACGGTCTGATTTTGCCGATCGTGTTGAGATGTAAGAGACATAAAGTCCTCTTTACTTAAATAAAAACAATCTGTTTTAAGATTGGATTTTGTCGAATTATATAATGTCAGAAAAGGAAACTAAAACTAAAAATTAATACTCCCCAAGACAGAGAGTCTAAGAATGCAATCCAGCCAACTTCTTTTTCGCCACACTCGTCGTGAGCAATCGATGGAGCCATTGAAGTTAATTTACGCCTCAGAAGTTTCATTCACGGCATTCGAAGCAGTTCAATCCAGCTGAAAAATTATTTAGCACCCAACGTTCCATCGATACTGCGTATTACAAGTTTGTTAATGTAATGCTCAAGGACTCAAAACATAGATTAGTCAGTTAATGAATATTGCAGGACTCTTACGTGTAAAACCCTCTTCGAGGAATTTAAAGTGAGTGATTTAAAAACATTGTAAACGAAACAAACCGCGGCATTGAGGGAAATTTTTAAGATATTATTTAAAAATATTTGCAAAAGTTATTAAAGCTGAATGTCTGCAAGCGTATAGTAGATCAGGAACGATACTTACCAGGTATTCAGAATTGAGTACTCCGCAGATTATCTTGAGCTCCAAGTTTTGTGTTCGCCTTCAAAAAATAGGATGGGCAAATTGAGCAGCTTAAAATCTTCAACAGTGCAACAGTGGCTTTGCCGCATTATTGGGCGACATCATTGATTTTTTATTTAAATATATTATTAAAAATCGATTTTAAAGTATGGCCCTGGCACCCGCCTTTAATAAACATCGATGGTTGTACGTACACTTTGATGAGCAAAACCAAGTCCTGCCACCTTGCGAAAAGCGAGAAAAGCCACTAAATAAACTAGATTTAGTAAGATCAGAGTCAAGAAACGCGCCCGAAATAAGATAAAAGATGCCTGAATTTCAAGCTATATAATTTATTTAATCCATTTGGGGCATTTATCATGAATGAAATGAATTGTAAAAAAACTACAATGTGAATCAGGCCCACACTCTGTCTAGACGTTTTTTTGCACGTGCTGCATTTTGTATGAACTAGATGATATGAGATAGATGTTATCTTCCAAGAGATAATTTAGAACATTTTTCTATGAGTTCACAAGTAATTTTTTTTAGAGTGATGGTCATGCAATCGCACTTAAACTCAGTTTCATAAATAATGAGATGTTAATGTCCGGATAATGTAGGGGATACCATTCCTCAGGAAAGAATAAAGAATAGAAACGATATTTTTTCAGATAGTTATTCAAAAGGATATCGACGGTTTAAGTCGGTAGTTACATAACTTGGTTGGCGACGTCGCATATTTTTTGTCATACTTTATTTTTTAAATGGAAAATTACTCAACCGCAATTCTTTCAAATTGCCGTGATTTTTTTTCTCTGTGCGAAGAAAATTCAGCAAAAACTTCAGTGAATCATGTCAATTTGTTCTCCTTTAAAAAATAACTTAGAGGCGGAGATTTTCCGACACCGCAAACGAGTTATGTGATTGTCGACTTTCACCGTCGATTTACATCTTCATCCACTAAAATTTTTGTAACACCATGCTAAAACTTAGAATCATTGCTTCCCGCCTCTCATAGCGCTTTAATGCCTGATCCTTGGTTACATGTGCCTTAGGTCGTTTTCACGTCTGATTCGTAAAATGCTCACAGTATACCAACGCTAAAAACGATACAGCGTGTTCAGGAACATGTGCTTGACTCTAATTCGGCGCCCGAGAAAAGCCCAGAAGTGACCGTCGACATGGTGACCGTGGCGGGAGTTTCGAAGGACCTAACGTGACCGACCTCCGTCATGGGCGCCGGCGCCCATGATGAAACCTGATGGGAAACCGGTTCAAAAGCCGGCTCCGAAGAAGTCCCAGCCGAGGAACGGGGGCCCCAAGTTGTCGCCGAACCGCAAGTCCAAGTCCACCGAGGCGCCCAAGAAACCGGACCCGAAGCGCGGCCTCTCCGTCGACTCGCCCAGGAAGCGCGACGCCCCCGCCAACGGCAGAAAGGGCGCCCCCCGCGCGAATGGTGGCCCCGTGCGCGCCGATCCCGCGGCCATCGACCCGCATTTGGACGCCCTCCTCCAGGCCCACCATGGTGGATCGCCCCGGGACCCTGAGGCTCAGCCCCTGAAGAGACGCAGCCTTTTTCGATCACGCTCCACGTCAAGGGAATCCAGCCCCGGCAACATGCCGCGATCCAAGGATAGTGATAAGTAAGTAATTGTTTGAAACCTTCGCAAATGCATGATATCTTAAATTAGGATAAAACAGCCAGACTGCAAGAGTGTTTTCCATGAGCTTACGCTGAAAAAAGAAAAATATGGTAGATTTTACCATACTCTGACCCAGTTATCCGGGTACGGTAATGAATACTAGACTCTATGGTATATCCCCAGGGTTCTTGTGAATAATGCTTTAATTTTGGTTACCTCCCCTAGATAGTGTCACTTCGTAAAAAAATCAAGTAGACTTATAGAGATGTAGAGATGTTACCATTTTTTTTTTCAGTGTACGTATGATTCTCCTTACTAATTCCACCCCCCTTATAACAGCCCCTGGTGTTGGAGCTACGGCCGGAATTTTTTTTTTTGGTGGGGGGAGGGAGGTCATCTTTTTCCCCACACTTTTTCGAAATTTTCAAAGTAAAACGCAAAAAATTGGCTACCACTCCTCCTTTATTGTACCTCGCTGAATTCATCCATTGCCCTAAAAGTAGAACACAAATGTCATTATTCGTGTTTTTGCCATTTAACTCATTTTAATCGCAATTATTCATATCTTCTTTACGAATTTATTTCCAAAGAAACTTTCTGTAAATCATTTTTCATTCATAATTTTTAATAAAAAAACAGATGAAGGAACCTTGCCTAGGGCCCACTTACGGCTAGTATAGGACACTGATCATTTGTGACCCGGAATGGTTAGTGTTCCTTGGTTTTCAACGATACTCTAACGAAGACGATGCTTACCAGGTATTTACAGAGAACATATATGGAAAATGAGAGGATTGAAATTAAACCTAGGATCACAGATATAATATCAAGGCAGAGGAACTGGAAAATATTTGCTTCGGCGGTAGCTGGCCTCAGGTGCGATGCCCCTGCATGGCGAGCTACGTGTTCTACCCAGAACATGGCTTTGTCCATGGATTGAGAAGTGAAATCCCGGGCTATGGCCGAATGTTTCTTAATATTCTCTTCGTAGCTAGAAAAAAGAGGAATTTCCTGTAGTTTTCATAAAATGCGGAGTTTTCATAAAATTAACCAAAATTAAATTACTCTCGTTTTTAAAGGAGGAGGGAGCGGAGTACGCCACACAGTGGATTGAGTCAATAAGAGAGGTCGGACAAAATTTGGAAACTTTAAACGCTTATGACTCCGTTTATATAAAACTTTGAGGTTCTAAAAGTGGTTTCATTGGTTCCCTTTTCAAAATTTCCGTCTGCTAACACCCATTGAAACTTAAAATGTGACGAAATAAACATCAAAATTTGCCGCGTTTTATCCAAAAAGGTCATGTCCGACCTCTCTAATTGACTCGACCCACCGTGTGCCATACGGGCGGAGTGCGCGGAGTATATCATTACGGGCCTCGTTAATTTTTTTAAAATTTTCTTTGTAAGGAACACATTTCCCATCACTCAGACATTTGATTTCAAGATATTTGAAAGAAGACCAAACGGTTTTTGTGGTTATGAGAATAAAATAGAGGAATAAAGTGCTGACTATATTTTGCTCTCTAATTTGATAAGATCTTCTTTACAACCTCCTGAGTAATCAAACAAATCCATCACCGTTTTTAATGAAAGTTTCAAAGCCTATATATCTAAAAGTTGAGTTAAAAATTCGTAAACTTACTTTTTGTCATACAGCACCTTGTCAATAGCTGATTTAATTTTTTCGAATGAGTGTAGCTCTTCAGGTGGCAAACGGATCCCAATCTTAGCATCCACTATTTTGGCGACGTTGCACCTTTGATCCGAAAATAAAGGGATTCCAACCATAGGAACCGCATGGTGAACAGCCTCTTGAAAACTCTGCAATCCTCCTTGCGTGATGAAAACTTTTACGTTTGGATGCCCTGTTGAAAAAAAAGTTTTGATTATTGAAACGTGAGAAAAGAGGAAGATGCTTGTTGAAGTATGTTTGAAAAGGGAAGGAAAAAGGAGAGAAAAGTGAAATATAGAACTAAGTTCAGAAATAAAAGATTAGTCGAAGATTCTTATCGAGTGATTGCGTGTTACTATAAAACCAGGGTAAGGTCGCCACTCTAATTTGTATTCTTTTTGTATCTGAAAAAGAACCCGGCTCGAAATGTCCTGCCTTTTTAAAATTATTTATTAATTTTTTTTAAAATTTTAGCCTTATTAACCCATATTTTTAGTTTTTGCTCTGTTGTGATGAAATTTTTTGTCTTTGTATTTAATCTGTGCGTCGTGGTACTCTTTTAAGACCTAAATTCTACAAGACTAAAAAATCAAATTGTCCAACCAAAAAAAAAAAAAAAAACCAATTTAGTTTAAGCCGATTTGGTTATCGCCATCCAACTGACCTAAAATACTTTGCTGAGGAAACCATTTTTGTGTCAGGATGTTGTCACCTAGACCGGGCATTGGTCCATCCGCCTCCCACTTCCAAAGTACTCGATATCCTTGTGGCAACTCTTTGAAGTATTTTAATATATTGTTCCTCGCATCCTCGGTCAAAGATGTACTTTTGAAATTGCACCCTAGATTAAAATAGATCACACCTTTATCTGCACCTTCTAGCCAGTTTTGTAAAGCCTGGAAACAAATAAGTCCATTTAAACGTACAACAATGGGCGTTGTCCGTTATGGTGCAGTTTCGGGAATAAATTTTCAACGAAGCCTCACGAGTTTAATCTCATTCTACTCAGTATAAATGCTGCTATACGCTAAAATTAGTTTTTTGCTTTAAATTGTGCGTAACGAAAGTTATTGCCTCTCAAAGACACACATTGTGTGGCAGCGCAACGTAGTGGCGCATCTTGTCCCTGCATCACTTAGAATCACCTTAATGGTTTGGCAAACCTAAAAAGGAAGAAAAAGAATCATAATTCATGACGATCAGCGTTCAAAAACTTTCGATCGTATTTTGTTGACGCGGTGAATGCTAATTACATGGCTGGTAAGTCACAATAATGGAAATATTTTTTTTTAATTTTAGTAAGCATTCAATCACACTTTACTGACAGTCCACTGAAAATCTGTTCAATTTTTCCTTTTATCTCAAAACAGGTTGGATATATTTTCTGAATTTAAATCTCCCTTCCCCCTTTAAAAAAATGAATTGACGACATAATTTGTCTCATACCTTCGGCAAGGCCCCAGGAGGTCTCATATGTAGAGGACCAACCTCAATTACATTTGGACCAAGAGGTCTTGGATAGAAATACATTGAATTCGTCGCCATTAATATCAAACTGATATTCGTCCAGCAGCCATCAACTAGCGATTCTTTCTCTGGTCCGAAAGTTTCCTTGAAAAACCGTCTAGCAGCATTCTCCAATAGGCTTTGTTGTACAGAAGCGAAATATCTGCTCAAAATCCAGTTGTAAATTTTTTCCCAAAGGTTCATTCTATCAGTGTATTCACCACGAATATAAGGGATGAAAGATGGATGGCTGAAGCTGCCCATGTAATTTTCGGTGCCTGTTGGCTCAGCAGGGAATGACGATAAACTGATGATTGGAATTGCACCCCCGAGAAGTCGAATCATTGCGCAGCTGGAGGGGATGAGCAATGATTCTATGATAGCCACATCGAACTTGAGTTTCTCTGAATGTACTTTCCTGAAAAAATTTAGTAAAACCATAGGTACTTTTTACTCCTGCTCCAAGTTTTAAATTACATGAATTTCGCAAAATTCACCCTTATTAATTTTCTATTATCGATATAAAAAAAAAAACTGAACAGAATAATGCCCTAAAGTTGTAAAGTGTTTCAATGAAATCCCTCACAAACATTCAAGCCAGAATTTTCTTTAGTCAAAGGTTGACATAACAGTTGCGTTGTGAGGGAGACCTCTCTAAGGCATTTCAATGAGTGATTAAACTGTTGGTCCTCTGCCCCTTCCCCTAATGTGTGAGAGGAATCAGGGATAGATTTTTTGGGGTTTTTTTTCGCCTTTTTTAGCAAGTGGCCATTCTCGAGGGGATGGAGCATTTCCCTAGTACGAAGACCAAATTCCCAGTTCTAGGAGTGGAGGAATGGTTATGAAAGTTTCGCCTGAGCATGAGAGACTGGAAATATTCGTTTGACCACCACCTCCGGAAAACTTTATGTAGGTTTCTGACGAGTTACCAACTGTCGAGGTGGTTCAAGGGGAGTCTCTGAGTAATTATATTTGGGAATTTACAAAATATTTATATTCATCTACGATTTGTTGTCACTGAATCAGTTATAAGTTTGTATAGTCTCATTTCCCGTGGATGGTCACTTCCGGCGTGTAAGGAGAACCTAAATTAGCTCTCAAAGCATCAAATAACAGAGACGAAATTTGCAGTTCTTCTGTGTTATCTGTTTGAACTTATTACGATGAAAAAAGTCCCTGGTGGAGTATATTCAAGTACTCACTTTTTGAAATTTAAGAATGAATCAGTTAGAAATTGCTTTCTAGGTAGCTCAGCTAACTGTGCAAAGATCTCCAGCATTTGCCACGCCGATCTTGGGCGTTGAAAGTTTACAGTATCGTTTTGTCTATTATCTGAGAAGGTTTCATCTGGCACTGCAACGTCAACAAAAGTGTAGTTTCCATGTTGCTCAAGGCTCTGGAATATAAATTAATTATGTGTATTTAATTTTACTGAAAGGCTATTTGTACGTGCATAAATTTAAATACAGTGATTTTCTTGAAACATTGAATGGACCTCTAGACAAGGTTTTCAATTAAAGCCCAACGCTGAAACTCAACGCTTTCTTCTCAAACTTTCTTAGGGAAAACGAATCACAAAACGGGCAGTCTGGAAATCAACTCTTGAACGAGATATAAGTTTTTTCTATAAACATTGGTTAAAAGGCAAAACTGCAAAGAGGGCCAGTCACCGATTTTATCATGGGTACACCATATCAACATCACTTTGTTATATACTGAGTGTCGATCAAAGAAATATTCAGAGGCGGAACACATTGACAAATATCGTAAGGAAAATGAGAAAAAATACCAGTGGGCTGATTATTGAAATGGATAGACAAAGCTCAAAGACAACAAAAGGGGTATGGAAAGATCCTATTAGTGGAAGCGTGTGGTTGCGATAGACAAAGGTGGTACCTAAGTAATAGACAAACTAACGGCAATAAATTAACCCACAAGAGACCCTACAGTTAGTCCATCATTTTCCCCCGTGGTTTATAACAACCACCCGTTTCAACCAATAGGATTCCTCATGTCCTCTTTGTCACTTACTTCGTCCATCAATATTAATAATCAACCCGCAAAAAGGTATAGTGCCACCTTTGATGTAATGCGCAAGACGGACCACTTTTCCTGCTCCCCCTTACGTCGCGCCGCACGTTACAGAGAAGAGAATAAGTTGTTTCAATTAAATAAACAAACAACGCAACAAATACGAACCGAAATTTGTAATGGGCTAATCAAAAATACTTCATGACCTCTTCGAACTAAATTCTCTGTCAAGGCCATCACTGGGCGATGATGACTCAAACTGGGAATTGGATATATGATCAGAATTTTAACTGCCCCTGTGACAGAAAAGCACAACACAATATTCAAAATAATCCCAAACATTATTTTTATCTACAAAATCACATCAGCTTTAGACAATTTTGTCACTGATTTGTATTAGTGTTAGAAGAACTGTCGTAAAACATATTCTTTCATAAAACTGACATTATTAACGATCTCGACTTGACTGTCGATCATGAGGGAGCCGTGCAAAGTTGACCGATTTATTTTCGAGTATGGAAAACTTATAAAAATCCTTATCTACGTATTTTAGTAGTATCGGCTTATGTGAAGAGAGGTGCATAACAGGCGATACCTCTTCACGTTTAAAAAGTTACACAATAGTGCAATATTCTCCGGTGGAAAATTGAAAGAGATACCTAAATGTGTAATACATTTTGAATTGAGTTAACAATGTTGCGTCTTAAACATCTAAACATTTTACAAAATTTTTTAAAGCCTGTCTATAATATTAAATCTCTGGTGTAGATTCAATTTTTTTTAATTGCTTCCAAAATCTCCCGAGGCATGAGTAAAATGATCAATGGACTAAATTTACCAATATATACCTATAGAGCTGATATTCCTGACTCATGTTAGATAGAAGAAACTTATGTTCCATTAGTTCCCAACTTATCCCATTATGCCAGTATGTTATGTTCCATTGTGCCACATCTGATTTTATAAATAAGCCAGAAATAGTATTTCCTTTTTACAAAATGCAGTCAAAATGTCTGATTTAATGTAAGGTTTGTATTAATTAAAACTTCCTCAATGTAGCGACGTTCCAGAGATGTTGTGTTTGACATCCCACGATTTCTCGTTCGGTTTCCTTCCGAACTCTACACTACACTCTTTGGAAAAACCGGCTGCGATTTATGCCGGGAATCTATTTCCGTTGCCGTTAAACTTGACTCTTAAACATTGTTTTGTGATAAGGAATCAGTGTCTCTGGCTAACCTAAAAAGCAATATATTTGTCATTAGTTTCCCGGTCAGTGATTTGATGGATAAGCCAAAAATAGGCTCCTTGTTGCAAAATGAAATCCTTTTATAATTTGCGCCTTAACAGGAACGCCAAGCCACCATTTTTTATAACAAATCTGTGAAAAATACACTGGAAAAAAACATTGGATCTAGAGTTCAGACTCTTAAAAACATCGACAAGAAAAAGTACTCTTGATTCAATCAGAATCCAGCTTAAATTAAGAACCAAGCCTCTTAATTTAAGCGGATTTCGTTCTGGTTTAAGCTAAAATCTGATTGAATCAAGAGTATTTTTTTTTGTCAATGTTTTCAAGAGTCTGGACTCTAGATCCAATGTGTTTTTTCCCCAGTGTATAGCAGTATATAAGCATGTATGCTCAATCTTCGCTGCCGAAAGTCGTTGAAATGTGTGAATTTGTACACACGCCAAGGGAGCAGGAAATCACTCCAAGCTCTAGTTAAATCCACTATTTCATCCCATTACGTGGATGATACTCTAATCGTCGTGACTAATGGAGCCCAACAAACCTCGGAGGAAGGGAAATGAAACGGAGGAACCTTGACCACTGGGCGCTCAAAGGATGCATTGCGGGTTGCATGGCCCGCCAAACAAAGGAGTCGGATGACCGGGTCACTGTTCACTTGTCCACTTGTGACCCTCTTTCGCGTTTCAATTATCATTTTTTTTACGTATTCCTTTTGGCCAGTGCTTTCCCCTGTGTCGATCGTTGTTGTGATACATTAACATGCATGTTTAATGGCGGTGTTGCCGATTCACTTGCGAGATATTTTGATTTTTAGGGGGAGGATAATCTGAAATTGGAGAAGTGCCACCCTCGGTAAAAATAGTGTACTAGCACTTGTCTCCCTTACCAGATCGTAAGATGTTGAGAAACAATGGTCCCCCTGACTGCTACAACGTCCAACATCCGATGCGCACACTGGAAAAAAAAAATTGAGGTATTATATTGACTTAAAGCGTCGTTTCTTATCGACAAAATGTAATTTTTTATTTGATTTTTTTTTAAATCCTTGCAGGCTCAACTTAAAGTCAGTTTTTTAAGTTAAAGTAATGTTGTTGTGCTATCGTTATATTTAAGTTAAAAAACGATGACAAAACAAGGTTTCCTAAACTAAAAAAAACTGACTTTAAGTTAAATCCGCGCAACAAAAAAACCAACGTTTGTCGACAAGAAACAACCCTCAAAGTCAAAATAATATCGCAACGAAATTTAACCGCATTTAAATTTTTAAACGTGCATATTTTAAATATTTAACCGTATTCCCCCAATTTACTATGATCCGATGATTCCTCTTCTGATACCTGGGAAATTTAATGGCGCATTAGGTTAGACAATTTTTTGGAATCGCAGGAAAACTATTGAATTTTCCAGGCAAACCGATATATTACCAAGAATTCCTGGAACCGGTTGCATTAAAAAAATTGGTGATATTACCACGGGTTTCCCAATCTTTATTAATAAACCTTAGACACTGCCACAACTTGACAAGACTCTTTCGTACTAATTTGACGCTTTTCGGTCAAAAGGAACGTATCCATTCTGACATGAGCCCTGAGATCCATAAGAATAAATGTATGACAGAGCTCAAGTCACAATGGGGCCTGCTGTCCCTGCGACGTGACACCGTCCAACGACAACACTTAATTCGTGACTGGTAATGGGGCCACTTTTTAGACGAATTTCCGGGTTCTCCCATGGGGTGCGATTTTCAAATATGTGCTTATTTATCGTAAACATGGCAACTATGAATCAAGTGGAGACAGGATAGACAGCGTGCGTGCAGCCATTCGAGCTTTGTTGCCTTTTTGACGATGATCTGTGATTTTCAGCGTTCTGAAGTTTGTCTTAGGATCATAATGACGTCATTTCTACCGAATGCTTTTGGACTACTTTCTGTGCTAAGAAAAGCCCTTATATTATTGGAAAATTGCCAAACTTCTGTATACACATTTTATAATGTTTGGACGGATTTATAAATTTTTCTAAGGCACAAATGAACTTAAGCTAAAATATTAAACAATTTTGTTTTTTTACAAAGGGATCGCAAGATAATAGACCTTGAATTTAAAATTTTTACTTCAATTTTAAAAAAGAAGAGAAGAAATAATGGCTCTATTTCAGCGGTTTTGGTTCAATTATCCTCCCTTATAATGATAATAGGTACATTTAAAAAAAATCAACGTTCTTCAGAGAAACAAAACATCTTGGATGATGATCTCGAAAGCGTTGCCAGATTACACATACTATGGTCTATTCTTATCTCTTCTCTAAAATTAACGCATCATATCATAAACCAGCAACGGGCCTTATCCTGATCCAGCAACACTGTCTCCATAATCGTTGAAAATAGTCTCGCACCTATCACACGAGTAGAAAATTCAGAGAAAGGTGATAAACTAGGTTATTTAATTTTTAAACCGAAATATGAAAGAAAAATTTGAGACTTTGCCTTTTGATTGTTTTTTATGCTTTGGCTTCGTTTATTTTGCGACAAAATCCATTGATCTTGACCTATTGCCCCCAACATGTGGAATTTAAAGGTCAAAAGTTCAATCCTAATCCAGACCCTTCCCAGATAAATCTAGTTTCTAGCTAAAGGATCTCTGGAGAGAGATCATGCGTGCAGCTTATCTGGAGTTAAGTGTCAATTGATACGAGGACCCGTGGGACCTCTCATAATTGGCAGAGCTAGACGCCGACTAGGAATAGTCTGCTCTGCCGTTTTAAGGAAGAACGCCGTATAAACATTCGAGAGTTGCCAAATTTTTATTGATAAAACATGTATTTTTGACAAAATTCAGGCATATATTTCCTTAAAATTTTCAGTTATTTTTGATTAAATTGCATACGAAATTGTCTGAAAATCTTGGAGAAAAATACGCACAATTTTCCCAGTAACTTCAGTTTTTATCGAAGGAAATTTGGCAACGTCTGAAGGCGCATACGGAATTCTTTCTTAGCACGAAAGTGCTGTGCTAAGTAAAAACGCCGTATAAGCATTCGAATGTTGCCAAATCTCCTCTTTGAAAATATTTACTTTTAAAGGAAGTTGTGGATATTTACCTTGACATTTTCAGATTTTTTAAGACAAAAAACGAATGAAAGCGTTTGAAAAATCGGAGGAGAAATATTTCGGCAATTCTATAGAGTTGCTGGAATGTGAAACTGTCGAATGTGTCCTCCAAAAAACTAAAGACTTAACTCAATTATTTTGGATCGAGGGTTTGTTTTCCTAGTTCAGACTCCTGTATCAGGCTTAAAAAAATAATGTGTGTAATTCAATTGAGTGCTGGGTCCACACTACTTTGCGGGGAAAACGAGGCTAAAAAGTACAAACATTTCAATAGAGTCAAAAAGTTTGAGCTCTAACGAGTACCAGTTCAAGAGAGGGGGAGCGTTTACCTCAGTTGGATGCATTGGAATATTAAGCTGAGATTACGCCGAGAGATCTAACGTTTTGGGTCTTAGAGCTCAAACTTTTTGACTGAAATGGAAATTTTTGAACTTTTTGGCCCTGTTTTCCCCGCGAAATAGCATGGATCAGCCATATTCTACCACCTTGTAAATCAAGCATACGTATGTTCTCTTCAAGAATTAATGTTAAAAAGTCCAATTTTGTATACCACTTCCTACACGTAATTCTAAAGAAAGTACCCGCACAAGGATTGCTTCAATTGGAACAATGAATGGTGTCTGATTCTTATTTTTGTAAATGTCAATACAACAAGGCTCAAAGGATCCTTAAATAGAATGACATCGCTGTTGATTCGAATCTAACAGTAAGGAACCAAAATATGGTCGAGTCAATAATAGACTCATTTGGAATGAGTTTCATACTTCATGACGATCGTGAAGTACTGTACAAACAGGTATCATTGTGTTCGTTAATATACTTTGTATGAGGATGGCTACCCCCACTCATGATTCTCAAAGACAATTTTAAGCCTTGGAACTTTCGTCCCCAGATTTCTCTCTGCCCTCTCTGTGCATGACTCAGGCAAACATGACATATTTATATAGGGACCATTCCAAAGAGCATGGTTCTTTTCCGATTGAATAAATTAA